TGATGTAAAGCAGGAGCCCAGCTCCAGCCTCTGCCGTTGAGCTGTGCCCGGGCGCAGCGCTGCCTGCTCGTCCCTCAGCCATCACACAGACAAAGGACCCCGTGGGCACCCACCTGAGCTCCGTGATGCAGCAGCAGGGACCCCTCATGCAGGGCAGCGTGTCCCGGTGCTCATGGGCCGTAGCTGGGTTTCACGCATCCATTCAGTGGCCACGTTCCTGCACCTTCCCCCATTGCTGGGGTGTTTCTCAGCAGGAACCAAAGCAGTCTTGGGGGGATCCATGCAGAGGATGGAGGGCTGGGAGAGCAGCGGACCCCAGCCCCAGCTCTGCTATGGGCTTTGCTCAGTGCTGGAGGCAGGAACCGGCTGTGGGGTACCCACAGTCACTGGTGCCAGCAGTGACAGAGTCCTGAGGCGGTGCTGGCGTCTTTCTGTGCAGCATCAGAGCAGCAGCAGCATGGAGTATGATTAAAGAGCAAAGAGCAGGGACTCGGGGCTGGGCTGTGGAGGAGCAATGCTCAGGGCCAGGAATGCTGAGGAGGGGAGGGGGGGGAGGCAGGGCTGAGCCATGCACCCATGCTCAGCATCCCACCCATGGCCTGGGCACAGGCTGGTCTGGAGGGGACTCAGGGAGCAGGAGCCTGCATGATGCTGATCTCGGCTCAGGGAGCACAAGGAGGGCCCCTCCGGGAACACGTCCCTGCTCCAACCTGAACACTCCGGGAAACCCTGCCCTGGCACAAGCAGCACATGTTTGGCTGCAGCTGCATCCTGGCAGCGGCTCAGGAGGACACAGGCTCGTGCCTACCCCAGGAGAATATCCCAGGGAAAGGGAGAAGGAACCTGCAGAGCTGTGCCAAGAGCACCCCAGGGCTGTTCCCAGCCCTTCTGCCATGGGGTGGCTCCTGTGCCTGTTATCCATGCTAAACTGGCCCCTGCCAGACCCTTGTCCTGCCTTGAGCCCAGTGACCTTCCTGGTGCCCAGGTACAGGGGAGCGGGGCTCACAGCTCCGTCCTGCAGCCACCCCATGGGTGCTGTGAGTGGGTGCTCCAGGGGACCCCAGCTGAGCCATCCAGCCCCAGGAGGAAGAGGACCAAGCAACATCCTAAAGGTAGAGGAAAGACAAGGGCAGCTCATCCTGCAGACAAAGGAGGAGAAGCAGAGCTGAGGCCCAGGGCCTGGAGGGTCCCAACGGCAAGCAGAGAGCAGAAGGCAGATGGAGGGGAGAAAGAATGGGAGAGGCCCAGCACTGAGAGCCAGCAGACTCGGTGACAGAAGGATGCGCTGCCTGCCAAGAGCAGGAGGTGTGGGCTGGGGCCTGGGAAAGAGCAGGAGGGAATAAACTCACCCTCCCTTCACCCTGCAACGTGTGATGCTGCCAGGACCCTGCAGGAGCAAACTGAGGGGGGCTGGCACAGGGAATGTGCTCGTGGGATCACAGGGAAACACCAGGAGCAGACAGGAGGCAAAAATGTGCCAGGACAGAAACCAAGACACACTTTTGGTCTGCAGTCACTGGGGATGAGGTTGCTCCAGAGCAAACACACGCACGGCAGCTTATCTAACACTGGGAAGGATTTAACCAGGGCTCCTGGATTTAACAGTACTCGCTTAGGTGAACGGGAAATGGATTGGGGAAGAAAAAAGCCAGCAGGAAGCAGAAAGGCTCACAACGAACTGTGCCTCCACCAGCATTTAAAGAGTTCTTCAGGGACACCACAAATTGCTAAATCACACCCTCGCTGAGGCACACCCTGGCTGCTCCTGTCCCCTGCAACCAGACACATGCATCCTCGGGAAGCAGTACCCTGGGTGCTGCATTTCCCCCGTGCCTGTGTCTCTGCCGCCAGCACTCCCTGCATCCCTGAACACCTGCATCTCTGAAGCCAACATCCTGCACATCCCAACTGCCGCATCCCTAACAGTCTGTGTCCCCGGAGGCAGGATGCTGCGTGCCTGCATCCCTGCGAGCTCCCACCCCTGGGGCCCGCACCCCTTGCAACCCGACTCTGCAGCCCCCGGTGCTGCATCCCTGGACCCGGCTCTCCCCGCACGTCCGGCTGCACCCCGGGGTGCCTCTGCCCGTGCGGCCGCAGCCCGGCGGATGCTCCCCCGGGTACGAGCACCGCGCCCGCCTCCCGCCGCTCCATCCCCGGGACCCCCACCCGGGTGCCGCAACCCCGCCGCTCCCGCGCGGTGCGGGGGCGCGCCGCGCCGCCCCGAGGCCGCGGCGAGGGGCGGGCGGGCGGGCGGTGCCTCGGCCGGGGCCCGCAGGCTGCCGGCCCGGCGCGGTCCCTCCTGCCCGGGCTGATGGGAGTTGTGGTCCGCGGCGGCGGGAGCGGAGCGGAGCGGCGGGGAGCGGCGCGGTGCGGGCTGCAGGTCGGTACCGCAGCGCAGCGCACGGTGCGGGGCACGAACGGAGGGAGGGGGGGGGAGCGGGAGCGTGCGGCGGGGCGGGAGCGGTGCCTGCGGCGGGGGGCTCAGCCCGGCCGGGCCCGGGGGCGGCTGCTCAGGGCCCCAGCGGGGTAGCGGCTGCCCCCCGCCCGCTGCGTGACACGCGGGACACCCGCACCCCGGGCAGCGCTGCCGCACCGCTGGAGCCACCATGGGTGATGAGACCGGCGCCGGTGCCACCGCCGGGGTGGCCCCGTGGGGAAGGGGCGAAGCCCGCTCCGGAGCGGCGGCCAGCACCCCAGCGCCCCGAGGAGGCTCCGGTGCTGCTCCCGGAGGCGATGCCGAGCCGAGGACACCCCGCCACGCGTCCCCATCGCACATCCCCGTCAGCACGGGGCCCACGGCCTGGGGAGCCCGGCCGTGCTGAGCGGAGCCCGCTTGCCCCGGGCGATGCCGGGGTCCCCACGGAGCCACCGAGGTGCAACTTTTGCTGCATCGAAGCCTCTGTGCCTTCATTATGTAACGGCGCTGCTGCCTGGCACGGTGCTCGCCTCCACGTCCTGCACAACTTCAGTGCAGCCTGGAATCGATTCCACTCTCCCGGGCTGGCTCCGCCGGCTCTTACGAGCCTTTCCTCTGGTCTCAGACCGGGGGTGCCGGGGTCAGTGCCTGCCTCGGTGCAGGGTGACAGCATCAAGCCACTCAGCAGCAGGTCCTGGCCATGCAGCACCCATCCGGCGCTGGCGCTCGGGCCCCTGCCCTGTGGAAGGTGGGTTGGGGCAGGGTTGCCCCAGGGCTGCCTGTGCCAGTGCAGGAGGTGGCTGCGTCCCGAAGGGAGGCTCTGCACGAAGCATCCCTGTGCAGATCCTGGCTGCCAGGCCCAGGGCCAGGCAGCTGCACGCAGGCACAGGGGCTCACATCTCTGACTGCTCTCGTGGTCTCCCCCTGGTTCTGCCCCTTTGAGGTGCTGGCAGCAGCCCTGGGAAGCAGTGGGGCTGTGTTTGTGCTGTGCCACCCTTCTAGGGGACCCCGAGGCTGTGGGAGCCCCCAGCTCTGCTCCCTGCACATTGGCTTCATCAGTCGGCTTCTGAAGGAGCCTGGCTGCTGGGCTGCTGCTGTCAGGGCGAGAGCCACCCTGAATACAGATCGTGGCAGGGCTCTGCCAGCATTCCCAGGCATGCTCTGGCCCTACCAAGGAGCAGGGAGGGATTGTGCCGGCCTTAGGGAATACCCCTGGGTCTGGCTGCACCCTGGGAGCCAAGGCCTGGGCTGGAGAAAGCGACGTGTCTGTAGGGATGGGGGGAAGTTACCTTAACATTCCCGGGAGGCTGTGAACGCCACGTGGATTGCTGATCCCGGGATGGGGCACCAGGCAGCGCGCTGCAAGGAATGGATGGAGGGAGGTTACTGTGGGTGTAAAACTGGCCCAAGCCTTGCCCCCAGCCCTGCACCAGGTCCACAGCAGCAGGGGCAGGTCCCAGCCAAAGCTCCACAAGCTGAAGCACATCACCATGGCCAGCAGCAGGGAGATGCACGGTCATTAACAGGCTGCAGGACCTCAGCTGGGAGCGGTTGGATGGTATTTGCCTTCCTTCCCTGCTAATAAACCCATCCTACTCCTCCAATCAGTGCTCCCACCAATGAGCTCCCACGGCATCTCCCTCCCTCCTACCTGTATCATCCTTGTGTTGCTCAGATGAGAGCTGTTTGCTCTGCAGCTCCTGTCAGGCTGCATCCCCCTGCCCTGCCTGGCACAGCACTAGCACACACAGGAACTGGATGGGAGCCCTTGTCCCTCACCCTGCGTTCAGTGCTCTGGGGCAGGTTGTGACCCTCCACGATGCCCAGCCTGAGCATCTGCTCTGTGTGCAGACCTGACCCGTGTTCAGCTGCTTCAGCTGCTGCACAGCAGTGATCACAGGGCTCTCCTCTGGTGCTGGCAGCACACTGAAGGTCAGGGTAGCTCCCAGCATGTTCCCAACCGGGTCTGTGTTTCCCTTCCATTCCTCACCCCCTCTTTGCCTCCCCTCTGGCTGCTCTGAGATGCCCAGGGATGGAGCATGGGGTGAGCAAACATCAGTCGTGGGTTTGAGGAGCTGAAGCATCTTTTACCTGGGCTCCCGTGTCCCCGAGTGCCCTCATCCTGCTGGCCGAGCCTGGGCTCCTGCATCCCACCTCAGGGCTGTCAGCTCGGTCTCTGGAGGGAGAATCACTTCAGTGCATTTAGATCAAGGAGATAAACTGATGTGCTGCTCCATAGGGCTGTGAAGTGTTCCCAGCTTTGCCCTGCTGCCTCGTCAGCCAGGTTTCAGATTTGATAAGGCAGGAATGGAGGAGGGAAACTGGGGAGAGCAGGAGGAGACATCATTGCCCAGGGGTGGTGGGAGCGAGGGGTGAGAAAGATCTTCCCCCTTATTTTCCATCTGGGTATTTGTGGAGGATGCTGTTGGGAGGGATGGGGGTTTCTCAGCATGGGCTGATGTTGGGCTCTTGGGTTCCTTATCCATCATCCCCCACAGGAACCGGTGCCCCCGGCTGCAGGGTCCGCGGGGGGAAGCTGCCTCCCTGACTCCTCCGGGTTTCTCTCCCCAGAGCCTCCCTCAGGATGATGGTGCCAGGAGCACCGGTGGGGACCCTCCCGGCACATCACTGCTGACCCCCTGGGCTTTCCCTGGCGCTGCTGCTGCTGCTGCTGCTGCCCATGCCGGGCTCCCGCTGCCCCATGGCAGCCCCGGCGCCGCTGCACCGTGTGGGTGCCCCTGAGGCCCTCGAGCTCTGAGCGCCGCGCGCCGCCGCACCACCATGTCCATGGAGTGGCTGCTGGACTGGAGCTGGTCCCTGGACGGGCTCAGGGATTTCATCGCCACCGGCATCCAGTCCTTCCGGGACTGCGACGCCACGGCCCTGGCCGCCGTCGCCTGCCTGCTGGTGCTCTTCCTGTGGTACTGCTACCACGTGGGGCGGGAGCAGCCCCGCGCCTACGCCACCGTCAACGCCCTGATGCAGAGCGCCGAGGCCAACGGCGTGCAGAACGGGTTCGTGTTCTGCCACGCGCCCGAGTGCGCGCGCTGCACGCACCACGACGGCCTCAACCAGAAACTCTACCACAACCTGCAGGAGTATGCCAAGCGCTACTCCTGGTCCGGCATGGGCAGGATCCACAAGGGCATCCGCGAGCAGGGCCGCTACCTCAACAGCCGGCCCTCCATCCAGAAGCCTGAGGTCTTCTTCCTGCCGGACTTGCCCACCATGCCCTACTTCTCCCGGGACGCTCAAAAGCACGACGTGGAGTTGCTGGAGCGCAACTTCCAGACCATCCTGTGCGAGTTTGAGACCCTCTACAAAGCCTTCTCAAACTGCAGCCTCCCGCAAGGATGGAAAATGAACAGCACGGCCAGCGGGGAGTGGTTCACCTTCTACCTGGTGAACCAGGGCATGTGCGTGCCCAGGAACTGCAGGAGATGCCCACGGACGTACCGCTTGCTCGGGAGCCTTCGCACCTGCATTGGCAACAACGTCTTTGGGAACGCGTGCATCTCCGTGCTGAGCCCGGGCACCGTCATCGCCGAGCACTACGGGCCCACCAACATCCGCATCCGCTGCCACCTCGGTGAGTGCCCGGCGGGGGTCATCCTGCCCCCAGTGGTGCGGGGGGTGCCCGGATCCCAGAAAGGCCTCTGGTACCCTGAGATCGCGGAATCCCATGGTTTGGGTGGAAGGGACCTTAAAGCTCACCCAGCTCCAACCCCTGCCACGGGCAGGGACCCCTGCCACTGGAGCAGCTTGCTCCAAGCCCCTGTGTCCAACCTGGCCTTGAGCACTGCCAGGGATGGGGCAGCCACAGCTTCTCTGGGCACCCTGTGCCAGCGCCTCAGCACCCTCACAGGGAAGAGCTTCTGCCTAAGAGCTCAGCTCAGTCTCCCCTCTGGCAGGTTAAAGCCGTTCCCCTTGGCCTGTCCCTACGGGCCCTTGTCCAAAGCCCCTCTCCAGCTTTTCCCTTAAGGGGGCCACTAATTGCATCCCCAGGATGAGCTCAGGTTTGCTGTGCTTTGGCCTGAGGGTGGTTTGGGGCTTGGGCAGCAGCATCCTCCCTAGCAGAGGCTGGTGCTCAGTGCCCGACCTCCCCACGGTGCCCGGCTCAGCCCTGTGAGCGTTTCAGCTCCTCCTCCTGCCAACCGGGGCTCTTGCTGCTGCGAGATTCGGGGGTCTTGGGATTCCGGGTGCTCCCCGGGAGATGTGAGCAAAGATCCTGCTTTGGTGCGGCTCCAGATGGGGAGTCCCGGGGTATCCCCTCGGGTGCTGGGCGCTGGATGGTGGCACCGGGATGGGAGCTCCTGCAGGCACAGATGGCAGGACTGGAACCGGCACAGAGCGTGCCGGGGGAGGCACCGCACGGGCCCTGCTGGCAAACACCGACCGCGGCACAGCCAGCTCCTGGGTAAACACGCTCCGGCAGCGACTGCCCATTTATCCACAATGGGAAGCAGCCTGGAGAGCGGATCCGGGGAGCGTTCCAGGCCTGGGGACCTGGGCAATGGCTCTGCCCTCGCTCTGGGGCGCTGGGGACATGCGTCCCCTTTGAAAGGGGCTGGGAGCGGTTCCTGGGGGGGGACCAATGGCTCAGACCTGCCCCGGCAGCAGCACGGGACTGGGATCAGCTCTAGGGCTGGAGCAGCATGACCTGGAGAGATGAGCAATGCGGATCATCCCCTTGTCCTTCCATGTTTTCCAGCTCCAGCCAGGACACAGCACCGTGCCTGGGACACGCTGACATCCCCATCTCAGTGCTGGGATCAGCTCTTGCGGTGCCCAGGACACGGATGCATTTCGGAGACAACCTGGCCTCTGATGCCAGATCACTCTGCAGGGCTAAAGCATCCATCAGTGCAGGCAAGGGCCTCTGCAGGGTTCACTCCAACCCTGTGACTGCTGCTGAATGCACTGGGCCATGCTCAGGCTCCAGCTCTGCCCCTCCAGGGGCCGGGCAGCATCCCCCAGGCACGGGTGCCATGGAAGGCTGCAGGCTCAGCTCCTCCTTTCCAGCTGGAGATGCTCCAGCTGAGGCCATTGTGCAGGGAAAAGGCTTTGGTGTTTGACGGCTTTGAAGCATCCATGAGGAAAGCAGAGCAGCTTCTGTGCTCCCAGCTCTCCCAGGCAGGTTGAGCCCCTGCTGCGCTCGCTGGGCTTTGGCATCCCTTTGAGATCCGTTCCTGCTGTGTTGTTACCAGTTATGATTCACGTGAGCTCTGACCCCTTTCTCCACCATGGCAGCATCCCTGGGGCAGGGTGACTGCACCAGCTCCAGAGCCGCCGGTGCTGCAGGGTGATGGGATCAGCCCTCAGGCTGGCCTGGGTTGCACTCGTGCTTTTAGGGACAGACCCATTTTATTTCCCAGGTTGTCCTGCCCATGGAGAGCCTCTTCCCCACGAGGGGTTTGCAATGGAGCTCCCTGTTCCCATTCCAGGGCTGCTCCTCATCGCAGGGAGCCCGCCCTGACCCTGTCCTCTCTCTGTGTGCACCAAGGTCTGAAGACACCCAGTAACTGCGAGCTGGTGGTGGGGGGCGAGCCCCAGTGCTGGGCCGAGGGCCGCTGCCTGCTCTTTGATGACTCCTTCCTGCACACGGCGTTCCATGAGGGTAAGTGAACCCCAAGGGGGCTCACGGTGTCCTGCGCCGGTGCCGTGCCGGGGCTTGTGATCCTCCAGGGCTGGGCAGTGCAGCTCAGGCTCCGGTGCTGCAGCTGCAGCATCCTCAGAGCATTCGCACAGCTGCATCAGCCCAGCACTGACGTGCCCGCGGTGCCTTTGTCTCCTGTGCAGGGAGCGCAGCTTCCCGGCAGCCTGTTCCGCCTCTCCCATCACTGACAGAGCCCGTTCCGCTCCAGCTCTCCCGGATTAACCGGCATTAGCGGCTGCTGGCGCAAACAGCCTCCGGCAGAGCTGCTCTGCGCAGGGGAGCCTGCGTGTGGAGACGGGGAGAACAGAAGCTGTGGCTCCCACATCAGCCCTGCTGTGGGACTGGGAAGCGCTGCTCAGTGCAGAGCCGTGGGGCTGGGAAGGCTGGAACAGCGCAGCAGCAGCTCCCTGCAGGGCTCTGAGATGCAGTTGTGAGGAGGGCGAGCTCAGCATCCTGCCTGCGATGGGAAACCTCCGGGTCTGATTGCCCAGAGCTCTGCCAGGAGGCCCTGACCCTGCGCTGGAGGCGCTGGGCTCCCAGTAAGCAGCGGTTCCAGTGCTTACTGGGACCTGGCCCTGTACTAGCTCACGCTCCGGGTACAAGCAGCAGCCTCCCAGCACGGCGCCCATCACCCTTGTGCCGGGGCGAGCATCATCCCACGGCAGCCGGAGCGCAGCCTCACCGTGTGTTTCCCTCCCAGGTCCCCCCGAGGAGGGTCCCCGCGTGATCTTCATGGTGGACCTGTGGCACCCCAACGTGGCCGCCGCTGAGCGCCAAGCCCTCGACTTCATCTTCGCGCCGGGACGATGATGGCGCTGGCCGGGGCTGTGGGTTCCAGGGCGGCCGGGCCAGCTCGGCGCCGGCACCAGACGGGAGCTGCCTCCCGGCGCACGGCCTCGGGTCCGGGCTCTTGTAAATGGAAACTGCGACGTGTCCCCGCGCCCATCCCTCCCCTCCATCATCGGCTTCAGGGATTCTTTTCGCCTTCCCTCCGTGGTTCAGCTGCAGCACCACTCCCCTGCGTGTTCCGTTGCTACTGTGTTTTGCGGTGTTCAGAAGTAGAGTAACAAAGCCAAGGGTGTTCGTTTGAATGTGATGATGTAAAACTTCTCGTGGCCATCAACCAAAAACCCAACACACGCACACACAAACCCCAGGACAGCAGCCCAGCCCTGGCCCTGGCTTGGTCACAGTCCCTCCATGGACGGACAGATGCTGGGGGCTATAGGGGTCATAATGCATTCCCCAAGGCAGGGGCTGCTCCGTTGGGGTGGGTGAGGCAGTGCTCTGCCCACAGAGAGCTCCTGCACCATGATCCCAAGGGCTCCTGCTTCCTCTTCTTCCTGCTCTTTAATCTGAACCGAGGGTGTTATCGGTTACCAAACTCCCTTCCTCTCTTTATCTGCAACCTTGGGCTGCCACAGCTGGAGCTGGGCAGCCCCTGCGAGGGCAGGATGCTGTCTGGAATGTGGCGCAGGGCTTTTGTTTCCCATAGGCTAAGGCCAGGGAAGAAAGGAGACGAGCTTCCCTCTGCTGCTCCATCTTCTTTCCTCAAGCCAGGGCAAGTGTACAGAGGCAGCTCACACAGACCTGACAGCAAAGGGAAGGTTTCCAAAGGCAGAGGCCCCAGTGTCCTGCGCACACAACAACCAACACGCTTCTCCCAAAGGCCCCCAGCACCCAGGGTGTGTTTGGGGCTCCCAGGGTACGGAGCTACCATAGGGTTTATAACACAGCACCCATGAAGCACAGCCTGTGATGCTCACCCCATCCTGCACCTCTGCTCAGGAGGTGGCTCCAGGGAGCCTGCGGGGAGGGAACGCAGCCCCTTCCCAGCACGGTTTCTGGACAGGTTTTTCAGTGATTGGATGCAGGATAAGGCAGAGATTTCAGATACATCCGAGATGGTTTTTACACCTGTCCTGTTACAGACTATCTGACGTGCATGATTTCTACACGCATCGACTGCCCGGTGCCAGACCCTGCGGGAGCCGGTCACTGGCTCAGCGTTCGGCACCATTCATACAGTGGTGGATAAGCAAAGATTATCAATAAACAGTTGTGCTGAAAACAGACCGGGCTCTGCCTGCTGCTGTAACGAGTCACTCGCTGCGGGGTTGGATCCTGCTTCCTCCTGCAGCTCGGCAGGAGCTGGTGGGGAGAAATGCCTGGAAAAGCGGAAAGGCAGGAGCTGCAGGCTGCGATGGGGCCGGTTTCAAACAGCCACTCTGCAATACAACCATTAAGTCAAGGGCCTGGAACTCTTCACCGGCCTACCCCAAGACAACTTTCCTCTTGACAAAGGACAGCAATAGGTCCTGGTGGCCAGATGCAGCTCAAGAAGCAGGAAGGGAAGAGAGCAGCCCCAGCTGTTCCACTGCCGACAGACGGCACAGCAGATTGTAGTGGAAGATCCCTGACAGCAGGCAAAAGCATCTATTTTGTGCTTTGCTGCTGTGCCAAAACTCCCTCCTGTCCCCCTCAGGCTTTTCCTTCAACTTCTTCGTGTTTCCCAATGGAGCTCCCAACCGCTTCCCAAACACCCAGTGAGGAGCCAGCAGGATCTCCCTTGGGGGAGCAGAGCAGCCCGGAGCTGCCTCCCTGCTCCTCCTGGCAGCCCAGGGCTTCCTCATCTCACCTCCGGAGCATCACTGAGGGAGCCTGGACTGGGGCTGCTGAGCAGGCAGAAAGGAGGTGGGGGAGGATGTCAGAGGAACCCAGAGCATCGCAAGACGGCTGCAGCACACAAGCATCTCCCCTCCTGCCTTCTCCCACCTCCACATCCCTCACCTACACGGTGCCTCTCTGTGCTGCACTCCAGAGCTAGAGCAGCTTGTCCACAACTGTCTGTCACCACAGCAGGAGGGCTCCTGGCTGGCTGCAGCTCAGGCTTCCCAAGGCGCATTCCCACCCACACTGCTGTTATCCAGAGCAAGCAGCAGCAGGAGCAGTGTCACGAGCATTCCTGCTGCTCAAACACCTCCTCCGCTGCCAGGGGGGAAGGCAGAGGCAATCCCTGCCCAGGCAGCCCTGAGCAGGCAGCCGGCTCTTCCCCCGGAGTCCCTGCCTGTCCCCGCAGCCGAGCTACCTCAGGAATCCCCCACTGTCCCAGGGGAACAAGCTGTGAGGACGGTGACTGCTGGGGCCAGCTCCTGGGGTGCCCTGCTGACTCCACACGAGTCTTCTCACCACGATAAAGTAACGCACCGACCTCCAGCACTCCTCATGTATCACCTGTAACAACCGGGGCTGCTGCTCAGCCCCACCAGCACAGGAACCAGGAGGAACGGGTCACTCAACCCCAGCCCTCACACCAGGAACCACAACACAACCCAGCAGTAAGTGGGACTCTGGCCACTGACACACAGAGCTTGGATGAGTCTTGAAGACTCTTTTATTGTCACAGTGATGTGTATGTAAGGGCAGGCTCTGAACCAGCACAGACACAGGTGTCCATCACCCGGGTCTAAGCAGCCATCACCAGCCATGGCAGGGACACGGGAAGAGAAGAGCTGCTGAGGAGCCAGAAACCCTCTTTGGTCCCATTAGCTTAAGGAGCTCCTACTTGCCCTCTGTCAACAGAGCACAGACACACTGAGCAGCGAGAGCCAGGAGGTGAAACAAGGCCCTCCAAGAGGAGGGAGGGGAGGAGGAGGGCAGGATTCATACCACCATCCCCATGGACCTGTGAGAGGCCGGCAAGCTACAGCTGCACGGGGCAGCAGGGCAGGCAGTGCTGGGCTGCACCATCAGCAGCCAGGCAGTGAGGAGGGACAAGGATCAGCTACAGGATAAAAACCTCCTGACAGTGCCTGTAGGAGGGTTAGGGGTTTTGCAGCACTTGTTCTTTTCCAGTTAATCTGAGACCATGCAGGCTCCATTAACCAAGGTAAGGCAGGGGAGCAATTCTATGGATTAAGATATAAATAAAGCCCCAGTCTGACCAGGGCAAGTAGGCACAGATCTCCAGGCAGAGGCAATGTCTGACAACTGCCCCATAGCACAGCGTCTGTGTAGCTTAGAGCAAGAAGAGGTTTTCCTTTAGGTCAAGGCACTCCAGGAGTCTCTGCCCGTGGCAGCAGAGCATCATGAACAGAACCAGAGTCAATGTAAACCACGCACCTCAACACAGGTAATGTCTATCTTCAGGCTTTGGTAAGTACTAATGTCAATACCACCCTACACCAGCACAGGGCAATGAGAGTGCCCCATGCTCAGGGCAAGGCAGGCTGGAGACCCCATGCACACAGCCTGGAGCAAATGGCTTTGAGATCCTATTGACTGGAGCTGAACGACCTTTCCACAGGGGCCGAGACCGGCCCCAGCGCATCAGTTCAGAGCAGGTTCACCCCGTGCTTCAGCAGCTTCTGCTTGGCCTTGCTGGGCAGGCTGAAGGCGCTGTCGTGAGGGTTGGGGACGCCCGAGTTGCGGAGGGGAGCACCCAGCTGCTGGAAGTAGGTTTCCTGGACGGGGTTCCGGCAGGCGTACACGGCCGTGGCGGCGTTCCTGCAGGCAGGAGAGGAGGCACCTCAGGATTCAGAGCTCCGTGCAAGCTCCACCGCAGCTCACTGGGCTGGGCACTGGGATGCTCACAGCACACTGGACTCCCAGCTATGCAGAGGCACTTTCAGGTCCTCAACAAAGGAACACAGAGCTAAAATGGCACTAAACCCTTGCAGGAGGGCACAGGGAACCAGACCCGGCATCCTAAAGTGTCCTATGTCACATCCTCTGTGACCCCCTCAGCAGCACTAACACCCACGCACGCGGCCACCTTCTGCCCTTGCTGGCAGAGCAGCCCAGTACATCAATAGCAGGTAAAGTGCTCCTTGTGCCTAAGACCCCTTCTCTCCTGGAGGAACCTGTCTCGCTGCTGCTGCCCACAAGCAAATCACAGCACAGGCTCTTTAGCTGCACCTAATGAAGCTCAGTCAATAGTCAGATACTATAAGCATGAAACTGAAATTCCCCACTCAGTATTCACCTGCAAGAGGGCTGGCAAGGAGCAAAGCAAGGGACTCTCCATTCCCTCAATGGAGGAAAGCAGCAACTGATATGTTTGCTGACACCCTTCTGTAACAACTCTCCATGAAAGCAAGCAGTTTTAGTCATCTTGTTACTCAGGCTGATTCACACATGCAGTTGCTTTTTTTGGGGCAACACAGAATACGCCAGCTTAGCTGGTGGAGGATTTAAGGAGCCAGTGAAACTAATGCTAAGCACGGAGATCTCCTGCACTGAGCGTATGATTCACATTCCCTTGGCAAGCTGCGTCGGGGAAGTGAAAGTGTAATTCCCAGAAGCATCTTTATTTCATCATGTTTTGGACAAACAGGCACGGCCAAGCAAGCGGATTCTCTGTGTGCTCCCAACAGAGCAGTGTTCCCGGGATCACCTACCGGAGCGGGGAGAGCAGGAGTATGAGCTCGGCTGTGGCTGCGATAAGAACATCTTGCCTGGTGCATTACAATTGAGTTTGCCACGCACGTTACAGCGTGTTTCCAACCCAACAAGCCATGCAAGAAAACAAAACCTAGGTTGCCAATTCTGGGTGCCTTTGGCTCCCAGCCGAGACGCACATTTATTAGGAGCAGTTATATTTAACACTGCGCCTTAGAACCTTATGGCGCCAGGAACTGGCAATATTCTAGCACTGTATCTTCATCCAAACCCATGGCACAACCCAGCTCTGCCTTCCCTTCACCGGCCTTGGCGGCACTCTGGCCTCTCAACATCCAGATCACACTACGGGCAGAATGTTAAGTATCTAAAAAGCAAGCCTCAGGGAATAAGGTGACGTGAGTGCCCCTTGGCAAGAGACACCGGTGTGACTACAGCGTGTGCCAGCCCTGGGAGAGGGGCTCCCCTCTTCTGCCCCTCCGTGTGGCATGCAGCACTGCTGGGGCTGGAGGAGGAGGGAGTGCTGAGCACAGCTTACCGAACGATCACCTCTGAGGCAGTGGGAAGCTGGCTGAAGTCGGAGTGGATCAGCGTGGCAGCTCTCAGGAAGTGCCGATCCAGCGGGCCGGGCACGTGGGGCAGGTTGGCTGCAGAACAGGAGTGAGGTGGGGGGGGGTTAAAATCCTGCTCTGCAGGAGCCTGCCCCACTTTACCGAGCAGGAAAGGCTGCGGACCTCTCCCACAGAGCCTGGAAATCTGCAGAACAGAGAGGGGCAACCCCAAAATCCCAGTGTGACCGAAGCAAAACCAGGGACTTGCACCACGCTCACATGCACAAACCAAAGCCCTGGGGTACCTCTCCCCACAGGTACACCCATCAGAGGGGTGACAAGAACGCCTGAGACCTGGGCCCCCGAGGAGCACTGGGGCTCCTCTCCTCCCCTAAAGCACTTCTAGGCTGGAAAGAGCCAGGACACTGCCGGTGGGGCTGCCAGAAAAAGGGAAACCCTAGAATGAGCTGGAGCAGTTCACATGGGGCTTTCTGCAGGTCTGTGGCCTATAGCAAGTTGCCTGAAGCATGGGAAAAGGTCACCAGAAACCCTGCCCTCCTCATTCCCCCCTGAAGGCTCACCTGTGAGCACGTTCTGAATGCAGTCATAGTGAGTGAAGCTGTAGGTTGTCTTGGCTGAGGATGAGGAGTCTTTGGGCAGAGTCTCCCTCAGATGAACCTCGAGGCCGTTCAGAGAAGCCAGGCTGCTGTGGTACTGCAGAAAGGGCAAGAAATGGCAAGTGTTAGAGCAGGAGCCCTGCTTGGCCTGGATCAGAGGGAGCTCGGGTGACTGATGTTGATTACAGAGGGACTGAACCCTTCCATGCTCTGCTGCTGCTGCCCAGGAAAGCAAATGAGTCTGAGACCTTACAAGTCAGTGAGAAAAGGGCATTCCAAGCTGGATCTAAGCCATTAAGCCACCTGATGCTATTAATTACAGGAAAATGCAAGACTCCATTAATTTACCATCAAACATTACTCTCCGGGGCTCATTTTCACATCCTAGCCATGACTTTCAGCCACAGGAAGGAGGATTCCTTTGGTGACCAGCCCTTATGACACCAGACAGACAGTACAACATTTGGATGCAGCTTTACCCACTTGGGCTGGATTTAGCTGCCTG